TTAAACAGGACATCTTTATACCCCTAACCTTCCCCACCCCTGCTAAGGCTTAGGGAACGTTGAGGAGCAGGCAGTGGAAAGATTTCAAGAGCTGGAGAATGGAAGCTCTCTTCTGGTCACGACGTGACCATTTCACTTACCTGTGAACTCAGGATAGCTGTAGTTTCCTGAACAAGACCTACAGAAGATCAAGCCAGTTACAGTCCCTGCATAGACAGGATAGATGACCTACAGGTCTCTCCTTACACTGAGGAGCTGGCAGCTTCAGGGGGAGAGAATCACTCTTTGGGGTTGTGGACAATGGTAGGTTTCCCATGCGCCACTGAATACCCCCAAACCCCACATGCACATATGAGCAGCAGTAATTGGATTTAGTGAGTCATCAAATTAAAAAAAAAAAAAAGGCAAAAAGAAAGAATAAAAGAGAAAAAGAAGACAGGAAGGTAGGAAGGGAAAGTGTTTGGGGATAGATACAGAGAGAGTTGGAGGGTAAGTGGGAGTGTATATAATATTTCATTGTGTGCAAGCATGAAATTTTCAAAGAATAAAAGTATCCACACATTATAGGAAAAAAAATTTTTTAAAGGGGGCCACTATTTAAGGCAGGGTCTCACTATGTAGCTCTGGCTGTCCTGGAACTCACTATGTAGACCAGCCTGGCCTTGAACTCACTGCTGGAAGGCTCTATGGCTGAGAAAAATTAACTTATTTTGTCTTCCAAGATAGGGTTTCTGTGTAACCTTGGCTGTCCTGGACTAACTTTGTAGACCAGGCTGGATTTGAGCTCACAGCAATCTGCCTGCTTTTGCCTCCGAGAGTGCTGGGATTATAGGCATGTACCACCATGCCCAGCTGAAAAATAGATTTTTAAAAGGCCCTCATCAGGTATAAGTACCCCAGCCTTGGACTCCTGCAACCCCAGAACCATGAGCAAATAGACCAGTTGTTTAAGAGGGGGAGGGAGGACATTGAGGCTGCCAGCATCCCCTTGGTCCTGTGGTCATCACTGAGGAATGCACTTTATCAAGGAAGAAACGTAGAACGGATCCTGTGAGGGCCAGGGACCAGCAGATCTCTCTGTCCCACCTCACAGTCACATCTCTGGTTTTATTGCTTCTAAAACGCATCCTATGGTACAGCCCGCATCCTTTTTGTCTCATAAGAATGAGACAGGCTTTCTCTGTGAAGCCCAGGGTGTCCTGGAACTCACTTTGTGCGCCAGGTTAGCCTCAAATTCAGAGATCTGCCCTACTCTGCCTTGCAAGTGCTGGGATTGAAGGTGTGTGCTACCATGACCAGCCCTTGCATTGGATTATTAAACCTCAAATGATCTGTATAGAACGTAAATTGAAATATGCCCAGATTCCATGTGAAAACCACTAGAATAAAACAGATTGCTTTGTGTGGCTTTCATGGCTCCTGACTCACCCTAACCTTCCCCCTGCCCATCTATCCGACCCTAGGGCTGGAGAGCTGGAAATAACCACTGCCAGGTCCCTGCGCCTGCACCCTCTCCAGTCCCTTTGTACATGTAGCTTGACGCTTTCCTCATTCTGACAAATTCCTGCTCCACCAGCAAGCCTTCCCCAGGTTTGTGTAGCCTGTCTCTGTGTGATGCTCTGGCGACACTGATGGCCATTCAGTGTTCCTTGGTTCCAGGGGCCTCCCCAGTAGTCAACACAATCATCTTCCTTGATGCAGAAGAGTGATGGGGCCCAATACTCTGTACCTCATGAGGACAGCATTCTTCCCAGAGTTAGGGCAGTAACCCACTGTGGCAGCCCTCCTGTGCAATTTCTCCACTGAGAAGGTAGGGGTCTTTAGGGGAGGGGTGTGGGGCATCTGTCACATGGGCATTGGGGCTGGATACCTGGGAGGCCCATCCCAAGCCCCAGCATGTGTCGTCTGAGTCAGGCAAGCCCCCGTGCCTCTGTGTGTCCTCGCTTTGTCACCTATACAAAAAGAAACATCAGCCAGCTCTTAGGTAGTATGATGGCTCATCTTGGTTGCCAACTTGCTACATCTGGAATCTAAAATACTGGACATATCTGTAAGGGATTTTCTTTTATTATTTTTTTAAACAGGATTTCTCTGGGTAGTCCTGGACCTCATTCTGTAGACCAAACTGTCCTCAAACTCAGAGATCCACCTCCTTCTGCATCCTGAATGCTAGGCTTAAAGGCATTCATCATCACCATCAAGCAACATTTTTCTTGACTGGATCATATGAGCTGGGAAGACACCGTCCCCCCTACCCCAAATCTTGACCACACCTTCTGGTGGCAGTTTACATAAAAGCACATAGAATTTATAGGCTTGGAAAGAAGGGAAAGCACTGGAGTAATGAATACATATTTAAATGGGATTTAAAAGGTAACCTCTTGCCACTGGAAAAACAGAGTCTCCACAGCAAAAAATATAAGCCACTTTCCTTTGGCCAGCCAGGAGGTGTCAAGCAGACAAGGAAGATCAAAACTAAATATTACTGATCTCACACATGCTACTAAAGACAGCTGCTGCTTTGGATCTGGTCACAGATACATCTCTTACACTATCCCCATAAGTTAAATGTTACAAAATAATCACTGATGTTTATGGTCCTTTGCCTTCAGAGACAGTAAGGATGATTGTGGGAAGAAGTGGATTAGCTTCTCAAGGATTTATCGTAGTAGTGTAGATGGGGATTGCAAGGACACTGCTGATAACTGCCTCCTGCAAGGCATGGTCTTTGCCAGCTGGTAATGTCTGCTTTGTGCAGCAAGAAGAGGGGCTTGGTCTAGGACTCTGAGAGGTATAAACACTAGAGTCCAGAAAGAGAAGGAAGGGGAAGCAGTTTGGAGAGATCAGAGATAGATGGTGTTTGGAGGAGACAGAGAGAAATGTTTCAATGCAGCACCTTGGAGGAGACTGCTTGCTGCGTTTGCTGTTGACAGAGATTGGTATAGCCCTAAAAGAACCCAGCACTCAGGAGGCAAAGGCAGGCAGATCTCTGTGAGTTCGAAGCCAACCTGGCCTACAGAGTTCCAGGACAACCAAGGTTACACAGAGAAACCTGTCTCAAAAGACAAACAAAAACACATCAACCCTAAACAGCCAGAAGTAAAAGGGGCTATGCCCCCCCTCTCCACTAAAGTGTTAAAGGGTTAATGAAAGGGAGGTAGAGGTTTAAATACCCCAAATAAAATAATATTTAAAATGAGCACATGTTGGGGTACATTGTGTGAAGGTGGGTTTCTGTATTTTCAATTGTTGATTGCTAAACTGGCAGAGAGCTAAGTACTAGCTAGACCTTAGTATTATTTTTATGGTTCATCACTGCTCTTATGTTTTGTAAGTATTTGTCCTTTCTCACTTACCTATTGGCTGTAATAAAGAGCTGAAGGCCAATATCTGGGAAGGAAGTTGGAGGGCAGAACTTCCAAGAGAAAGGGACTCTGGAAGACGGTAGCAGAGGCAGGAGATTAACCAGTGGGACACAGGTGAATGGATGGAAGTGAACAGGAGAAGCAGAGAAGTAGATCCAGCCACAGAGCAGGATGTAGTGCTAGGATTAGTTGGGCCAGGTCTAGTTGGTAGCTGGAAATCTGCCTAGTTAAAAAGGCCTAAGCTATAAAATATTAATACAGATGGCTGGTCTGAAAGTCCCACTACAGACATGGAAGTAGGAATCTGCTTTTCGCCTATTTGCCCCCACTCCTGCTGGAATGTTCATCATCCTGCTGCTAAGGCATGCCTTCACTGATATTAGAACCTACTCCTTTGGGATTCCAACATAGAGTGAAGGCCAGCTGAGCCACCCAGCCATGTGTACTGAACAACTAGTAGATTCTTGGCAGACAGCCATTGTTGGACTAGCTGAACCATAGCCCATAAGCCATGCTAAGTCCCATATATATTCATTCTTCTATCAGTCCTGTTTCTCTAGAGAATGCTAATACAGGCAGAGAAGTGGCGATCACCCTCCAAATGATGGCCATTACTCCCACACCCACACTGGCCAGGTGTACCTATGTCTTGGCACGTTTTATCCACATCCCTGTGGCAAGTTAGGAATGTTGATCACTAGTGCATGAGGTGGGTGAAGGAAACAGACAGGCAGGCTGTCATCTGCTTCACCCCTGGCCCACCAGGGTTCAATACTCTTCCATTCTCCAGGAATGGGAGAACAGGAAGTAAGGGAGGGAGGCTGCAGACGTGTATGTGCCCGCCCCTTCCAGGGTGCTCACCAGCACAGTAATAGTGGTGATGACAGCAGCCACACAGGAATATGGGGCACAGACGACTTCATCTTGGCCTTTCTTCTGCTGGTTCCACAACCCCAGTACAGGTAGGCAGGACCCGCACCTCTTTGGGTTTTTCTACATGCCAGGTAATACAGAGCTGGTGGCTTTGTTGTCACATCAACCCTAAGAGACATGAGTTACTGCTCAAGGAGACATGGAAATCCAAGGTGAGAACTCTTAGAACTCTCAGGCTTCTCTCCTCCACAGCTCTATCCTGCAGGCAGGCAATGCTTGTCTCTCACTGCTGTGTGTGCGGCTCTGTTCCTGGGCAGTCTTGATTTAGAATCACAATGGAACCTAAAGCTTTGCCCCATATCAGCCTATGTCTCTCAACTTATATTCAGGTTCTGCAGCACCCAGCCCACCCGGCCGCACACAGCAGGGCAGAAGGCATTCCCCGAATCTTGACCCAAAGCTGAGGGTTCCACCTTCTCAACTCTAGAATGCAACACATTCCTCCTATGGTACTTTGGGTACCCCACTGTTAAGCCACCCACCTTAACTGTACCAAATGCCCTCTAGCTGCTGCTCCCAATGAGGCAGGCCTTGCTGATGGCTCCATCTGTGGAGCCACTCTTGTTGGTGCTAGGTTGTGAGGACTAATGGTATGTTTTCAGTCTAAATTTCTGTGTGTAGGAGATCCATGGAACAAACATACCTCTAACCTGTGAGCCCCACTGCCCAAGGACAGTCATGCTGGGGGCCATCCTTCATGTAAGGTAACAAGCCATGTATTTTTGCTTCCGTAAACAATCTTGGTTATTCCCACAGGACATGATTGATCACAGCTAGGCAGGAGGTACACAGAAGTACATCAGGATTATGCTTATCCTTGATTGGACAAACCTGGGAGGTACATAGCCTTGTGAGTTTTGTCTTTATAAGCCTCTAATTAGTGTGATTTGCAGCCATTCTCTGGGAATCCCACCTGTCCAGTGTCCATTGTCCTGGCAAGTATTTACTAAAGTTTGCTTCAAATTTGGCTCAAAAAGTTATGGGAGTGTTCTTGCCCAGAAGGAGTAACACTAGGCTTCCCCAATCCCTTGTTCTACCTCACCACCTATCCTTCATTCCAATTATGAGAATATTCTAGGTGTTCTGCAATTTCTCCTCAGTTTCTCCCACCTCAGGAGCATGACTCCACTCCAAGCTGCCATGTCCACCCTGAAGCTGGATTTAGCTACTTTGTGGGTTTTTCTTTTTCCACCCATTGCTCCCCCATTACTCCAATCACTAGAAAGGAGAGAAAGGAGGACAGGGTAGAGATCTTGGAATCTAATTTCTTTCTCCTTTGCTTGTAGCTGGTTTGCTCATTTGGGGGTTCTTTTTTTTCCACCCCATATTTCCCTTACCCCCATTTCAGTCCTTATCACTAAGGTAGGAAAGAAAGGATAGAGGAAAATAGAGAAAGATAGAGATCCTTGAGTCTAATTTCTTTCTTCTTGTTTCTCCTTTGTTTATAGCTGGTCTTTGCTCCTCTGTGGGTTCTTCTTTTTCCCACCTCCCCAGTTTCACCCCCTGTCATTAAATAGGAAAGAAGGATAGATGGGAGAGAGATAGAGATCCTTAAATCTAATTTCTTTCTTCCTGTTTCTTCTTTGAGCATGACTACTAACATACTGCAACCAACCCCCGTGAACCACCAACTACCAACCTATTGGAGTTCTAGCATTGATATACCCTCTGAACTATTCCCAGAATTCCAAATGTCACATAATCACACAAACTATTTGCAGCTGGCAAAACCACACCTCTGCTACAGCATGAAGCACATCTTAAGTCAGCTGCTGCAAAGCAGCCTCATATCCCCACATTTGAGATTATAATAAAAATGAATTCTTTTATTTCTGTGTTTTATAAAGAAACCAAATTTTGCTGGGCATGGTAGCGTACGCCTTTAATCCCAGCACTCAGGGAGGCAGAGTCAGGTAGATCTCTGTGAGTTCAAGGCTAGGCTGGTCTACAAAGTGAGTCCAGGACAGCCAGAGATCTGTTACTCAGAGAAACCCTGTCTTAAAACAAACAACAACAAAAAGGAAACAAAATTCTAGAATTCTCACTGCACAACCCATCCGGTCCTGTGCTTCTATTTCTTCAGTTACCTTCCTTCTGCCTATTTTCTAGTAAGGCAGGATGGAGCACCACATCAAGGACAGAGCTCAACTAGACAAATCCAGAAGATTATCGGGCTTCCCAGTGAGCCTGGAAGGTCAGGGAAGTGAAGGAACCCATGCCTTTGGCTTTTCTTCCCATCTACACCTGCCAGCTTGCCCCTACACAGATCTAATTCCTTGTCAGCATAGAACTGAGAGCACCACCTTTTGCACCATCCCCTCTTAGCAGCCAAAGGTTGAGAAACCAGTGGCCACAAAACATTTTGTTTGGCCTGCCATATCTTTTTAAAGTTTTAGTTAGTTGCTACCATTTAAAAATCAGGAAATTCTGCTCAAGAATCCAGCATTCTAGTTTCTTGTGAAAAGTGAGATCTGGTGACACAGGTCCCGTTCCTCGATGTGACAGCCACTATCCCTAGTGCTGGCTGCTCCTTTTCCATGGGCTCATGTTCTGACGTTCTAAGCTTCCCGGTAGCAGCTGCCAAACACACTATGTGGCTTCTGACTGCATCTTTGCATGAGGCTATTCTTCTGGAGGAGCAGACAGGCTGCTGAGGCTATCCTAGCCCATCTTCCCATTGCCTCAGGCCTCAGCATGGGTAGGCAGGCAGAGCAGGGTAAGCAGGAGGGAGGGTGGAGAATGTCAGTCAGCTCTGACAAACTTTTCCAGCAGCATCCCAGGAACTACTTGTGTCCTGTCTGGAGCGTGACTCTGGAGGCCAGTTTGCTGAAGACGCAGACTGGCTGGCTATTCCTTCAGGCCGCTCTGCATTCACTTGAGCTGGGCCTATGGCCGAGGTTTCCTGAGCCTGAGCAGCGTTGAGGTCTGGAAGCATAGGCTTCGCTTCCTTACAGTTTAGCCCTCAGCCAAATATGCACCATGGGGTGGCTGTCTTGTCACAGTCCAGCAGGATATTGAGAACAGTGCAGGGGGCCCCTCCTACAGACAGCGCTGTTCGGGAATCCACCCGGTACTTCACAGTGTTCAGGCCTCCCTCCCGGTCCACCTTGAATTGTTCCTGGAAAGAAAAGAAGAAAAAAGAGCATGAATTCACACTTCATGATGTCAGCTGTTCACATACCCCTATTAAAAGTGAAGAGCCCAAACCTGACATGTTGCCCAAGCCTCTTTTCTTTACCCATCAGTAAGGAAAACAGACTTCTCTGTGGGATGAATGCACCTACAAGGGGTTCTGAGACCCCAGCTAAGCCTTCCCACCCCAGCCTGCATGGCCCCAGCTAAGCCTTCCCACCCCAGCCTGCATGGCCCCAGCTAAGCCTTCCCACCCCAGCCTGCATGGTTCCAGCTAAATCTTCCCACCCCAGCCTACATGGTTCCAGCTAAATCTTCCCACCCGAGCCTGCATGGACTCTGAGGTATGTGCTGATCCATGGTGCCCAGATACACACAGCAGCCACCGAACAGGGCAAGGTGTCCATGGAGAACACCTGTTGAGTGACCTGGGCCCGGCACGGGAGGATGGCACCATTTGGGCCACGGGGGAACTCGGTGAAATAATCAGGCCTATTTTCCTACCTATCCCTCAGCACTGAGGAGACTAGGGAGTACCTGTTTTTGAGCCGCAATGCGTTTCTGGTCCCTCTTCCGCCAGGCTGGGTCATGTAAGTGACGAAATGTCTGGTACCCAGTTGTGATTCCCGAGGGGCGGAAAAGCTGAGGAGAGTAAAGAAAGCAGGGGTCAGGCTGCCTCCCCTGTACTCTTGGCCCTTACCACTAACTCCTCTGGGATCTCCCTGGCTGCAGAGGTGTTTAGGAGCCCTTCTGTTGGCGAGGAGACTCCAGCAGAGAGCACAGGACCATTTAGATGAACCCTGCAATTCAGGGTGAAGGCGGGGGCCAGAACCAGGGGGACCAACTGCGAACCCCAAGAATTTCAATGCGGCAAGTAAAGGGAACCTCAGGATGGCCATGTAAGCCAGGACCAGGGAGGGCAAGAGAGGAGCCTTACCTGGAGGCCAGCTCCTTTGATGCGTCGGTAGAATTCATCGTCCTCTCGGCCCCAGCCCCAGAAGCGGTTGGACATCCCATTGCACTGACACAAAGACAGGCAGTGTCTGTCACATGCCCCTCCTCCCAGGGAGGCGCTTTGTCTCCCACTGCTCAGGAGAACCAAGCCTGAGAGTGGCCAGCCAGGCTCCCTTCCTTCCTTCTGACTGCTCTCAGTGAGTACAGGTGCTGGCAGGTCCCCTCACTTCTGAAGTGGGGGTATGGGGGCAGAAGGAAAGGCTCAGCACGCCTCAGTCTCTTCCACTTCAAACAGGGCCTTAAACTTGTATGTGGTCAGACTCTCAAGTGTCAGCTCTCTACAGAGGGCAAAAATAGCAACTGCTGCTGCTTTTTGCCTTCCTCCCATATCCATCTCTCCTGAGGCAGCGCTGCCCAGGTTCCTTCCTATGTTTGAGGGACACTGGACTCTTTGACCATCCTGATTGGCATCTACTCAGGGGCTTCATTTATAAAACTGGCTTAGCCATGGAGGATGAGAAGAGCCGCTCTGGTCTTCTCACCCGCCTGTGCCTCTAGGTCCCATCCAGAGCCAGCGTGCTTTAGTTTGGGACTCCTGTCTACTCCTGCGAGGGGCTCATCTCCCACCAATGGGCCTTGTTTTACAGGCTGTCAATAGACAGCCTTCTCATATGAGCAGGATGTAGAGAGTGCAGTGCTGGGGCATGGGAAGAGAGAGAGGGAGAGATTCTGCAGGCCATCCCGGCTCCAGCTCCCTGTGGCCAGATGATGGCACTGGGGCTTCTGAGATCACAGCAGGGCTCTCCCTGGCTAAAGTGCTTACTCCTGGTCCCCTCAATGTCTCTGGCTTCTGCTGAGCCCCTTTCGGGCTCTGGCAATACTCTATCTGCTGGGCCCCAGGAAGACTGCTCTCTCTACCCTCCCAACAGCTAGACCCCTGGTGGGGAAGATTCCCAGCAAATGAGCAGAGCAGGTAGGGCTGGGCCTCACCAGCTGGTAGTGCTGCTTGGAGAGCAGCAGAATGCCACCCACATACGTCTTGTAGTGGTAGAGGGGGTGAAGCTCTGGGGACGCCACATGGAAGGGCCCGGCCTCCGGGAAGCCGTAGTCCAGCTCCTTGTTGAGAGGGAGCAGGTCAACATCATGCATAGCGATGTAGTCTGTGCTGTTGCTGCTCTCCAGGAAGCCCACATTGATGAGTGCTGCCCGGTTGAACCTACACAAGAGCAATCACGCTGGTTAGAGGAAGCAAGCCGGTTCACCAACCCAGCTCTAGCCCTCGAGGGGCATGAGAGCTTTTTTACCATCATCACCCAACACTGACTTCACTATGAGGGTGTTGTACCTGCTGCTGGCTGCATAAGTGTTTATGGAGCACCAACTATCTGCCAAAAATAGCTCCAAACTATACCGGAAGAAACAGCACCAGGAAACAAATTCCCGTTCTCAAGGACCTCACAAAAGGAAGAAGCAAGTCAGACAGGGTACTGAAGAGGAAGCTGGCAGGGGATATGGGTAGCTCTTTTCCTAGACAGGGCTGTCAGGAAGGCCAGAAGGACAGGGGCAACATCTAAGTTGGAACTTTAAGGCTCGAGGGAAGGATCATACTGCAGCTGGGAGATGGCTCCACACAGAGAAGAACTGCCAAGGTCAGTACACTGAGGAGAGACGAGGGGACTAGGTAGAAGCTGAGAGGCAAGAATTGATGGTGGGTGGCTCAGGGGGCAGCGGAGGAAGTGGTGACAGGTGGGCAGATTCTAGATGTGTTTTGCTGACGGGCTGGATGCTGTCACAGCGAAAGCCGGTGAGGCTGAGTTCAAGCCTTTTTGGCGCGCTTAACTAGACGTCTGCAGTTTCCACTCCTGTTGGGAGCTGCTGTTCTACCAGCTGCTTTGATATTTAAATCTCAGCGGAAAGACTGCTTTTACCAGGCCTACTCTAAAGTCAGTGAAGAATTTCCAAGTTTATCTCCTTTTGTTTGAGACAGCAGGTGGGATACCTTGTCAAAATCACACCTCTTGTTTCACCTACTTGTGAATTTAACTCATTGTACTGAAGCTGCTTTTACTCTGGCTTAAAAGGAGTCTGAAATAAAGCGAGGCATCTAGTCTCCACTAGGTCCCATGTGTTGTATGTTAGTTTATTAATTTTAATCCTCACTCCCAACTCAAGAACTGTTTGACCCTGCCTGCGGGCTCCGGCATGCTCCCTGAAACAGGGAAGAGGGGAAAGACAGCAGGTATGAGGGGGCATCAACCAGGAATCCAACCACAATTCTGTTAGGTTTGGGCTGCCTCTGAGATCACTGAATGCAGGCAGAATATTCGAGCCTGGAGCTCAGAAAACAGATACATACATTCAGATTAGGGAGTTCTCAGGGACTTGAGTTCTCAGGGACTTGATACCATGAAATGAGACAGGGTGGGATCCCCCAGTGAGAGAATGCAGCCAAAGAGAGGGAGACAGTGGAAAACAAGATAAGCAGGGGTGGCCATTGGGATGGGGAAAGCCAGAGGTTAAGCCCTATGAGCGAGAGGAACAGGCACTAAGCGCCAAAGGGAGGAGAGGCCCTGGGCTAACTGGTGCGGCTTGGAGCTAGTGCTCACCTGAAATGATCCACCTGGTTGAGCACGTAGATGTGGTGCCGGATCTTCTTCCTACTTAGGAAGTGGTGCATGTGGGGCACAAAGACTAGCAGCTCCTCAAAGCGTTCCCGGAAGGGCACCAGCACTGCCAGGCGGTGAGGCCCCCAGGACTCATCTTCTTTCCAGTGCTCAGGGGGAGGCTCAGGGAGGCAAGCCCGGGGGGGAGCCGAGGTCTCCTGTCCTTGCCCCCTGGCAACCTGGGCCATGTCTGCAGAGCAGCTGAGCTGCAGCCAGAGCAGGGAGAAGGAGACCAACAGGAGAAAGGCAACGAAGAGATGGAAGATGGAACATTTTCGGCGGAGACCTCCAGGAAGCAACCTGGCCCTGGGATAAGAGCAGGAATGAGGCCAGGAAGACAGGGCCAGCTGAGATCTTTTTAGGACCTTTCTCTGGCCTCCCCACATATAGGCCCAAATGACTAGCCTTCCTTAAACACTTAGCAATTAGTGTAGAAGCGATGTTTAATGTTTCTGCTCATGCAACTACCATAGATGAGTCCATTCAGCTGTGGGCCCAGCCTGTGCAACCCTCTGGGACACTCTCAGATTAATCACAGCCGTCAGGGCTGCCCCAGTCCTTCAATGATTTCTTACATTTTGATGGCATTCTGGTCAGAGTGTTCAGGGAAAGGGAAAGGCTCATTGGTTAATATTTGTTTCTCCCAAGGACAGTGTCTTGAGGTCCAGAGCCAATGGGAGGGGGTCCAGTTTAGAAAGATACAACCCACTGATTTTAAAATTCCAAACTCACTTCCCAGAAAATTCACCCCAGCAGAAACGTTATTTTGTGATGCTGCTAGGGTGTGAGGAAGCTCTCTGAGAAGGAGGTGTGTGGTGACATAAGCCCCAGGCAAACGGCCAATATTTAGTCAAGGAAGCTCAAAACTGCCCAGGGGAGGGTCCAAGGGGATTAGTGGCAGATCACTGGATAGCCCACAGGACAAGGAAGGAAGAACAGCACCCATAGCCTAATTTAAGAAACTGGATGGGGCTTGAGAGATGGCTCAGAGGTTAAGAGCACTGGCTGCTCTTCCAACGGTGCTGAGTTCAATTCCCAGGCAAACACTTAGTGGCTCACAACCATCTATGAGAGCTGGTGCCCTCTTCTGATATGCAGGCGTACATGCAGGCAGAACACGGTGTACATAATAAATAAAAACCTTAAAAGAAACTAGACAACACTGAGTATCCCAGACCCTGGAGTGATGCTGGGAAACTGCCCTCTACTTTAACCATTCCAAAACAAACAAACAAAAAACCAGGTGAAAAGCCCTGCATGGTGGGTATGGTGGATTTCGAGTTCAAGGTCAAAGTGAGACTGTCTCAAAACAAAGAAGCAAAAAATGAACCAGTGGGATTCACCTTTGCCTACCCTGGTAGTTCCTAAGGACACTAGGAAAGCATTCGAGAGTCCAAGGCAGCTCCCTCTATCGCTTCTCCTGCCCTGGTCCGAGCCCAGTAAAGAATCCGCTTCATGGCCTCTTAGGGTCAAGAGTTGGTTATCAAGTCCTGTACACTGAAACTCCTACGCTCACCCATGATCGCCTTGCCTCCTGGCCCTTGCCCTGCTTGTCACTTTCAAGCTTATGGCTGTTCTGCCTCTGCTTGCAAGATAAAAACCAAAACCCTCAGCCTAACAGTCAGATTCTTCTGACAAAATACTCAGTGATTTTGTCAAATCTCCAGTTTCTTACAACCACTCACTCTCATCCGGGGTAAACAGGCCTTTCCACTCACCACATTCCTTCCAGTTCCAGCCCTCTTTCACCCCGCCTTTTTCTCCTATGTGATATTCCCTTATTTTAACTGCTTAAGAATCTTCCAAGGCCAAAGATCCATGTCATGCCCATCACTGCCCCCACCAAGCTTCCATGTTGTGCTCCTGGTGTACCTGGCACTACTCTCTTTCCAGCACTCAGAGCATGTCGTGTTCTTATCTGTGGCCTCAGGCCCAGACAGACAGAAAATTGAGTTAGGGGAAGGGTTGAAGCAGCTCATGCATGCTTTAAGGCACACACTGGAGCCACATCCATGCCTACCTTTCTCTAAAGGCACAACTACAATCTGGAAGCCAGCAGCCCTGAAGCCAGGCCCAGGTCCCACATGCAGCTGAGACATTGCCCGGGCAGGATTGCTGGTCCCACGGTTTCTGACTTACCCCCCATCATCCTGTGGTGATGGTTTCCACTGTGGAGCAGTAGAGCCCAGACCTGCAAATGGCCTGACAAGCCTGGAACCCTTACAGATTCTTTCTTGCACTCTGGGCTCTTTCTGGATGCAGGGTTGAGACTTAGGCGATGAAAAATGGGAAACAGACCTCCTTTTGGGGGAATAAGCAATGACCATTATCCAGGAGAAAGGCATGGGTTGGACTGTCCATACACTTTCTTGTACTGTTTCCTCAGTTCAACTTGCCTTTTCTACGAGGATCGTGTGCCTGAGGACACTCTCATTCTTTGCGCTAAAGGCCAAAACCACTGAGGGTCCCAATTCTATCAATAAAAGTGATGGTAGTGAACACTGAGAACTGATGCTGCTGGTTCCCCCTTGTGGCAGTCTCCAGAACTGCATGATGGGCCGCTTGCAAACCCAGGCTTTCAGTAGCAATTTAGAAAAGAGGCAGCCTCCTTTATTAATCACTGCCTAAGACTGATTAGTGGTGCTTCAAACCCAAGCATGTTCGTTCTAGAGCTAGCGCCCAGTTACTACACTACTTTATATTTGTTCCCTGGATCTTTGCCACTGTGTCAAAAGCACAGAATGGACATCAATCTATGATCAGAAAATGCAAATTCTCTTGTTTCCTCATGCATAAACGTCATTAATCTTTAAAGAGCCCTTCCAAGCAGATATTATGATTCCTCATTTCAGAGATGGAAATCTGAGATCAGAAAAATTAAGTGGTTTGTTTCTGGCTACCATTGATTATGCTTTTCTATTGTATTATTATCACATGTTAAAACACCAAACCTGAAAAAACAAAAACCCCAAAATATGCCCATTAAATTCAAGAGACTATGACACCTACCGTATGTGTCATTCATTAAGTGACTATCCAGTAAACGTGTGTTTGGGGAAACAAAAGTGAGGGCAGGGAGCATATTTCAAACCTGAAGTGTAATGTCCCCACAAATTAGGCAGGGAGATCACCTCCCCCACTCTGCTTCAGTGAGAAATACCTTAAATCGGATTTAGGACTCACACCACTGAGACTCACGCCTAACCCTGAAGGCAGGCCCCCACGCAACTCCAACAGCACAGGAAATGAACTAACGGGTGTGTCTAGTGTAAGACAGGCAATGGCCAACCAACCAGGCACAGAATACAGGAAGCTCTGTCTGGTGTGATCTTCCGGGCTGGCCGCAAAGTATGAAAAACCACGAAGGAAAGGGATAGGATCTCAAGTCCCATGGATATGATAGGGCAGGCAGAAGAGAAATAAAAGACCCTCAGCGCCACAACATAGAGACCCACCGTAAGACGTGAAACAGAATCAGTGCCGCGCACGAAAACAGACGACCCAGTGAGGGAAAAATAAACACGCACAGAAGACACATGAGAGAAAAAAAGGGACTAGGGCAGTGGTTCTCAATCTTCCTAAAGATGCGGCCTTTTTATACAGTTCTTCATGTTGTGGTGACTCCCAACCATAAATTTCGTTGCTATTTCATAACTGTAACTTTGCTCCTGTTATAAATCGTATTGTAAATAGTTGGTATTGGGGTCGCGCCCCACATGCTGAGAACCGCTGGACTAGCTAGAGAACCAAACAAAAAGATCAATGGAGGGAGGCACAGAGACCGAGACACAGGGACCCTAGGAGACAAGCACAGCACGGAAGCTAGTAGAAAATGAGAGCCACGTAGACAATGCGAATGACCCCCCTCAGCGAACTAAAGACCCTCAGGGTGACCCCCAGAAACGCAGACCTGACGTCCTAGATTCTGCGGGAGGCCGGGAAAAGAACGGTACCCAAGGGGGCAGGCCTCCTGCTGCCTGCTAGGGCTCACCTGCCATCCTCCCAGGGCAGCTGCGCTGTTTTCCTCCGGGAGGGCAACATCGTGGGGAGACACAACTGGACATGGAGCTCCAGCTACAAGCCCGGCACCCGGCCACCCGGCCTGCCCAGCCTACGCGGCGTCCCCGCCCCCGGCCCGCCCCCCGGTCCGCTGGGTCCGTCCCTCCGGCCGGGCCGGCTGCGCCCCAAAGCCGCAGCGTATAAGGTTCTGCTGCTGCCTGGAAAGGCGTTGGTGGGACCCAGCTTCTCACTACCTACAGGGATCTGCTGGATGTCACAAGAAAGGAAGCTCCCTCCCTTCACCCAGGTCAAAGGCCAGCAAAAAAGGGAAGACACTAGCTGGTAATAGTGTCTTCCAGAAGAGCACCTCTGGGAAAAGATCTTCCTTTTACCCTAGCGCAGGCGGGCAGCACCGCAGCATTCCTACTACAGCCCAGTAGAGCTAGCGCGTACACTTGGAGCACGTGATCCAGTTCAGGATTCCGGGCTGGGTTGGGAACAGCAATTAGGAACTGAGCCCTGAAGACTGTGCTTCAAACACTGCTCTGATAATTCAACTATGTCGAGGAAAAGTCAATTTCTTATTCTGTGTGGTCGTTGCAAGAAACGTAAACCCATTTGATGCAGTGCTTAGCACACAGCACTATCTAAATGCTGTTGGCCAGTATTTAAAGAGAATGAATGGAATAAATAGGCTGAACTCCTTATCTGCCCAGTCTGTGTGTGAATTTATCCACTTCCTCACCTCATCCGTGGCCAACCTCCCACCTGGGATAAGAGGGGCAGTTACTAATTTGACCTCTGCTTCTTCAGGCAAAATTCAATATTCTAATAAACAACTGACATTAAGTCCTACTCTGCTAGTCATTATTCTAGATTCCTTACTACTGTATTTTTTATTTAATTTTATGTGCATTGGTGCAACCACCTAGAAACTGCAGTTACAGACAGTTGTGAGCTGCCATGTGGGTGCTGGGAATTGAACCTGAGTCCTCTGGAAGAGTAGCTGGTCTCTTAACTACTGAGCCATCTCTCCAGCTCCACTACTGTACTTTAAAAAAAAATATTTATTTTTACAGCATTCTCCCTGCATATGTGCTTGTGCATCAGAATTGGACACAAGATCTCACTACAGATGGCTGTGAGCCACCATGTGGTTGCTGCAAAGTGAACTCAGGACTTTTGAAAGAACAGCCATTGTTCTTAACCTCTGAGCCATCTCTCCAGCCCCACTACTGTCCTTTTATTCCATCCTTATGAACAGGTATTCTTTCCATTGTAAAGACAAGAGAACCAAGGCACAGGCAGATAGTTGGTTTGTCTGCATAATCGCTTTTCCACCCACAATCTATAATTTCAAGTACATTGTTTCAGGCAGACTTAAGTACTGGTAAGAACTTAACTGGTCTTAACTCTTTCTTTCTCTCTTAAACCCTGACACACACAACTCAACCCTTTCCCACCCTGTGCCTCTTTTGGGGCTCTGCATCCTACACCAGAAACTTATCAAGTCCACCCTAGTTGTGGCAGGCCTTTGCTTGTTTTGTTATTTTGAGACAGGGTTTCTCTGTTGCTCTGGCTATCTTGGAACTCACTTTGTGGACCACACCGGCCTCGAAAACTCACAGAGATCCACCTGCCTCTTGCCTCTTTAATCCCAAAAGCTGGGATTAAAGGTGTGTGGTACCACCACCTTTAATCTGTAGCAGATCTTAAAGGCAGGATTGGTAAGGATGGCACTTTACTTCTGGGTCTTCCTTTTAAAAAAACTCATAAACCCATAAGAGAAAAATATCAATAACCCCATAATTTGTCAGATTGTTTTTCACAAACCCATCACCATATGCCCGCTATAAGGAAACATGCAAAGGATGGAGAGAATGATGTCCACAGGTGGAGACTGATCCTGGAGTGTGTGGCCCTGTGCCCACTGGAAGATGTTCCACACTCTGAAGTCTATGTATTACATACCACTGAGAGTAAGTGTACACAAGACAAGTATTTCTTCTTTTAATTGGGAAAGCAATGTAACAAACCCAAGTTTACTGAAAATAAACTCAGTAATTAGAGACTCTGCAGGCTCGAACTCCAACCAGCACCAAAGTCTCTGCTTTGTTTGGTACCGGTTGCTCAAGCCCCAGAAAGGACAACTAAAATAAACCCTGGGCCCCTTTCCTGCACTACAACCCCTACACACACACACACACACACACACACACACACACACACACACACACA